AGCACTGGTCTCTTTATAGGCCTTTTCACGTGGGGGTTGCATTAGGCTAGCACTTCCTCTTAGGATGTAGTTTAATATTTCTGTTAACCCTTACATCTCCTCCCTTTTTATTTTTTAAAGATAAGAGAGTCTCTGTCTTAGGTCAGGGACCTGGGGACAAGTTGCCCGTCATTGGCTACCTCTCCTTACCTGCTCTGGGGAGCGCCTGTCTTAGGTCGTGTCCTTCTCAGTATTCCCAGTTGCCCGTCATGGAGAGCTCTCTTTAAAACTGGTGTCCTATAGACATCTAAATTTTATTAGCGGGATTATGGAGTGCTTGGGCTAAAAGAATTTGATGTTTTTGTGTGGTCACCACACGGTTCCAGAGAACTCGGAGGAAGGCGAGGCTGATAAGGCCTATGAGGAGGAACACTGCGACAGTGCCTCCCCATGATTTGATGAGAGACTAGAAACTAGTAAGACTTTGGAGAAATGTGTCTCCTGTAATAGTTGGAATTTTGATTTCGTTTATAACTTGGATAGTGTGTAATAGGCTGCGGGTTTAGTATGGCTAATTGGAGATGTGCGTTGATTTGTTGTTGTATATCTAAGGCCTGAGCTGTTAAAGCACTAAGGTTATTGAGGGTATGGGCGGTTTGAACCGACGTGGAAATGGCGATCCCAGTGGCCACGGCAGAAGCTGCTAGGGCTGCGATGATGGCGACGGCTGCTGCAACAATACCAAAGTCTCTTTTCTGTTGGGACAAACTTATTGGAGAGTTAGAAGTTCTGTTGATAGGCATAGGAAGATATGTTGGGATTCGGACTATAAGCATCGAGTCAGAGTGTGAGTGCCAGCAGTTGGACAAAAGACAAGTAACGTTGGGGGAGTCACAGGGTACAGTGCGGTTGACTATAGAAGATACGTTAAAAGATACAATGAAGAAGGGTGATAATACACAGGGTTGAGAGTGAAAGGGGAAACTGGAATAGGTTCCATTGTAGGTAACGTTGGGTTGTCCAATGGGGAAGCAGGATTGTGGACTCAATCTTATCTGGGGTGTGGATGGGAGCCTCCTTGTAGTATCCACTAGTAACATGACATTCTTTAAATTGCCTTTTTTAGTTGAAAGGGGGATGGCATTAAGACAAGCATGGGGTCCACAAAGAAACATTCCTGCCAATGTGGCTGGCGTTCTCGGGGAACAGGGATTACGTTGGTAAAATGGTGTCTGAAGGCTATTAGGGTTCAGAGGTTGGGGGCCATGTCACCAACGACTGAGGTTAGATGGTGTAGGTGGTAGATAAACTGGGTTAAAGGCGTAACAGTCTTGCCACATCCATTGTTTGTCGGGGACAGAGTACTCTGAATGAGATTTTTCACATCGGGGACAAGGTATGGGAGCCTCAGAGAAAAGGAGATCATAGGTATCGGGTTCTGAGGCATTCATCGGGAGGTCAGTAGTGGAGATGGGCAACAAGATTTCCATCACGTATGTGGGAAAGGGTTCACTGCGGTTTTTTTGTAGATCAGTAATGCTACTGTTATGGAAAAGTAAGCAAGGATATTTATTAGAGTCAGTAAGAGAGGAAGAATTGTCGTTAGAAATATTATAGTGAGTAAAGCATAGCGTGTCCTTTAAAGGGAATGAGGAGGCATTATGTGGAATAAAAGGTGATGGCTTAATATGTGGTTGTCTAGTGGATGCAATGGAAGAGACAAAGGTAGGAAATTGGGGACTATCCCATCTTACCATCAGGAACACTGGCGGAGTCCTTACTATTCCCCAGTTTATCTCTGTTCGTGCTGGCCTCCACAGGTGGATTGACAGAACGAATGCAGCGAACAGGTACCCAAACGGGAGCATCTTTACCTGTTGGCAGAACACAAATAGAACCTCTGACCTGAGCTATTAGTCGGTCAGGGCCTCTCCATTGGGTTGTTAGAGGATCCCTCCATTTTATAAGTGCTGGAGGTTGAGCTATTGACTGCCAATGACGGTTGGCAGCGCAGAGACCTTTGTTGTCTCGATTTAAAAAATTTAAAATATATAAGGCAAGAGAGTTATATTGTTGAGGACTCTTGCATAGGGGGTATTCCCCTCTTTTTATTTTTTCAAGAGAAGTTTTGTAAGTATGATGAGCTCTTTTAATTATGCCTTGTCCTTGAGGATTGTAAGGAATTCTTGTTGTATGGGAGATATTGAAAGTTTCACAGAATTCTTTAAAGGCACGTGAAGTGTAAGCAGGTCCATTATCAGTTTTGAGGGCATTGGGTGCTCCCATGTAGGCAAACGTTTGTATGAGATGACTTTTTATATCTGAGAATTTTTTTTTCTATGTAAAGAGGTATATATTAAGTTGGAATAGGTATTAATGGATAAATGAATATATTTATTGGCACCATAGGAGGGAACATGAGTGACATTAGTTTGCCAAACCTCATTGGGCTTAATGCCTCTTGGGCAGACTGAGTTAGTTTGTTGAGGAATGTAAGGGGCACAAGCGTGACATGTAGTCACTATGGCTTTGGCCTGTATAGGTGTTAGACCAAATTTGAAGCACAGTGAAGCTGCATTGTTATGGAATTTTGAATGAAATACTTTGGCAGCTACGATTTTTTTTTTGAGGGTTTTAAGTCTGGTGGCGTGAGCGTTGCCATGACACTTACGACTGTGTCTGCTTTGACATTCCCCTCAGCCAAAGGTCCTGGGAGGTTAGTGTGTGCTTTTATATGGCCTATCCAAAAGGGATGGATTCTTTTGAGTATTAAAGCCTGAAGTGCCTGTAGTTCTTTGGTTACTGTGGAGCGCTCTGATAGTAGAGCTGCTGTTTTCAATTGTGGAACTATAGTAGCTGCATAGTAACTGTCTGTGTAGACGTTAATGACTTTCCCACTGTACAAGTGGAAGGCATGACAGATGGCCAGTATTTTAGCCTTTTGTGTAGATCTTGTAGGTATTTCTACTAGATAATACTTGTTTTTTGAGACTACTGATGCTTTTCCTTTTTTAGAGCCATCTGTGAATATTGTCCTGGCTTTGGGAATAGGGCTCTGTTGTGTAACAACAGGGAAAGTGACTGGATGTTTTATGTAAAATTGACACCTTTTATTGGGGGGATAATGATGTTGCCACCTGGAAGAATATAGGCAGTGAAGAAGTGTCCAGTCTTTGTCTTGATTGATGAGTATTTGTAATTGGCTCAGCTTGTAGGGAATAATGATAGTATCTATGTACCGACCAAATATGGTTGCGGCAGCTTCATGAGCCTTTTTTATTAGTTTTTCTACTGCTGTATGAAATGGAAGTATGATTTTATTTGAGCTAAGGCGAGGGTTCACCCAATATAGTGGCCCACTCTGCCATAGGCATCCTATGGGATGACTTCTTGTTGGAAATACTATGAACTTTAATTCTTGGCCAGGTTTTATTCTATCTAGTTGGGCCTCAGTTAAGGCTTTTTTTACCTTAGTTAGAGCTTCTTTTTTAGCTGTGGTAAGGAGTCTAGGTGAATCTGGACTTTTGTCTCCTTTAAGCATCTCATATAATGGTTGTAATTCCTGATTTGAAATTTTTAAGGTAGGTTTTATTCAAGCAATGTCTCCTAGAAGCTTTTGGAAATTATGGAGGTTTTTTAAGTGTGATGTTTGTATAGTTACTTTTAGGGGTGTTACAGTTTTTTTTCTTAATTGATATCTTAAATACTGATAAGGCTCTGTGACTTGGACCTTCTCAGGAGCTATTTGGAGTTTTGTTTCTTTTAGTAATACTTGGAGCTGGTTATAGCATTTTAAAAGTTCCTCCTTATTGTCTGCAGCTAGTAGGATATTATCCATATAATGGATTACCATTACCCTGTTGCCTCTTTCTGAGAGGCTTTCTCTAAGTGGTTGTATGGCAATATGGACATATGACTGGCACATGGTTGGACTGTTGGCCATGCCTTGAGGCAAGTATTTCCACTGGTATCTCTGGTTTGGTGCTGCATGGTTAATGGCCGGCACCGAAAATGTAAACTTTTCCCTGTCCTTAGGATGTAACGGTATGGTAAAGAAGCAATTCTTTAAATCTATAATTAATATGTGCCATGAAGAAGGAATTGTTGCTGGACTAGGAAGTCCTGGTTGCAGCGCTCCCATAGTTACTATATAGTTGTTAACCTATAACAACTCCTGCAAGAGCCTCCATTTTTCTGACTTCTTTTTTATAATAAAAATTGGAGTGTTCCACGGTGATGTGGTAGGCTCTAGGTGTCCTAATTCTAATTGTTCCTGCACTAATTGTTGAGCAATGCAGGTCCCTTTCGGGACCACTGTAATACCTTGAGGGCTATGTGCTAAGATTTGTATTTTTCTTTTATAGTCTGCATCTATGACACCTGGGACCACAAATAATCCTTTTAAGGCTGTGCTGCTTCTTTTTAATAGGAGTGCTACACATGTATATGGGAGTGGTCCATATACTCCTGTGCCAATTGGCTGCACTCCCATGTCTGGGGTTAGAATTATTCTTTGTCTGGAGGAAAGGTCCAAGCCGGCGCTGTTTGGGGTGGCTCGGACAAGCTGTTCGATAGATAGTTTGTTTCCTGAGGGTACCACTGTAGGTTCAGGGATGTCTGGAGTGCCCCGAAAGTTTGTCTGGTTTGTGATGGGCCCTGGGGCTGGGCCCTCTTCCCGTTTCCCGACTGGGTTGAGGTCAGTGGCTTTCCATCTATATCTGAAGTTGATCTGCATTCTCTAGTCCAATGGGGCCCTTTTTTGCATCGTGGACAGATGCCTGGAGGTTTCTGTCCCGGGCCTCTTCCCTTACATTCCTTTTTAAAATGTCCTGACTTGTCACAGTTATAGTAGTTCCCTTTACCTTGTAGCGCCAGCTATGGCTAGCCCTATTTGCTGCGCTTCTGTTACATCTCTGCAAAGCCTCAGGTAGTCAGTGATTTCTCTATGCTTATGTGGTCTGAGGATATCCTGGTAGGCCTTGTTAGCGTTTTTAAAGGCTAACTGCTTTATAATGGGCAAGGCCTCTTTATGACCTCCAAACAACTTATTGGCTGTCTGGAATAGCCTGTCCATGAACTGTGCAAATGGTTCGTTTCCTCCCTGCATCACTTTAGACAGTGTTTTTCCTACTTCCTTGTTTGGAATGCGCCCCCAGGCAGCTAGAGCCGCAGTGGCGATCTGAGCATATGTACCGGCTGCATATCCTACTTGGGCCTGGAGGGTCTCATACTGTCCTCGACCCGAGAGCATATCCAGGTCTATGTGAGGCTGGCCTGACCGCGCATTCATGGCCGCAGTCTGTCTACATGCATCCTCATAGTCGGCTCTCCACAAGAGATAGTCTCCTCCTGAAAGCCCTGCCCTAATAAATTGTTTCCAATCCTAAGGGGTTAAATTTTGATATCTGTATCCCTCTAGGATAGATCTCACTAGGGCCGACTGTGGACCATACATGGACACAGCCTCCTTTAACTGTTTGAATTCTTTTATGGGTATAGACTGATGATACTTTTGCTGATTCTGCTCAATCATGGGGGCTATGAATTTCACTCCCCCTGAGACTTCTGCTGACTTGGTATGATCCTCATATGGATCTGTCCATAGGGCCATGTTCCCCTGATTTGTACTTGGGGGGTCCAGCGGGTCTCCTAATGGTAAAAATGGGTTGCTCGTGTACTGTGGGAGAGGGGGTTTCACCCGCCTGGACAATTTTAATTGTAAGCTTTCTATTTGTTCTCAAATCTGCTCTTCCGTCTCCTTTTCCTCTCCTGCTGTTTCCTGCAGCTGCGACAGGTCTGGATACAGACCCGGGCCTCCCTCTGGCTTTTCTTGTGTAGTCTCCCTACCTTCGACTCCCTTAGGGAGTTCCTCCTCCTTACTCTCTGCCTGGACCTTTTCTAGGTCCTGTCTTAGTTGTTCTAACTCCTGGCGAGCTACTTGAGTGGGACTCAGAATGGCATCTCTAATTGCTCTCCACAGGGAGAACGCCCAAGTGGGAAAGTCTTTTGGTCCCCTTTTCTTCAAGTGTTCTGTGAGATCATGTCTGACTTATTCCCAATCCCTGGGGTTCAAAGCCCCTCCGAAAGCAAACCACGGACTGCTCTCCTGCACTAAGCTTATAAATTCCTGTAAGGTGGAATTATGGACTTTTATTCCATGCTGCTTCAGCAGCGCCTTAAGGCTGACTGTTAGTTTCCCTTGTTGTCCACCCATTTCGTCGGGCACTGGTGTCACTAGACGTCTCTCTAGGACTATGTATGGGGGGTAGTGCACTTACCCGATTGCGGACTTATGCCCACCGCCTCCGCGGTCCGAAGACTGTTTCGCTCCCTCCCGGAGCTACGCCGATCTTGGTGGAACCTCCACTTGACACTGCCTGACCGGCAGGCGGTGTCGGGGAGTTCGTGATCGGCGTATGAGAGGGAGAAGGAAAGGGAAAGGGTGAACACAATCACACAACCACTCATATAGTA